ATTTTAACATCCACCGACTATTTTGTCTACCCATGTTCTACCCAACATATTTGTAGATAAAATACATATACAGTTTAAAACTTGTATAAAACATCTATTCAACAGTCACCTCAAATAAACAATTAACATATTTACACATAGCACGTATTTTCAGCTAAATACTTCATATCTATGTGTAAAGTGAAAGTAACTACACACTCACATGTTTTGATGATAATCGGGCAGCAATTCGTTTCCTAAAACGATCGTTTCTAATAAAACCGGGAGTTTTATTGAGAAATCGGGCTCTGCAAAGGTCGGGCTTCGAAACTGAAAAGATAAATTTTCCGGGCTTCACGGGCACTTTGTGGCGTATTCCGGGGGTTATAATTGATACCGGGGCTTCGGGGGATGTTAATATGAAAGAAATATGAGATTTAGGGTGAAAAGTGGCAAATTTCCAAAGTTACCCGGGAAGGCTCGCAACCTTCTATTTATAGGGTGGAACTTCTGATCGGACGGCTGAGAAGCCTCCAGGTGGCGAAGATCTGAAGGCTCGCAGAGAGGGCTCGCACATGGCTCGCGCCTGCGAAGGCTTGCTGGCAGCTCCTTACTGGACCGAGGTCTAGGGTCCGAAGTAGGGCATCCGTGGCATGCATGCGAGGGTTCGGTCTCGTGCAAGAGGGTACGTGTCGCACCGCTACTGGACCGCTTCAGATCAGGTCAGGAGCTCGGATGACTCAGCAGATCGGACACGTGGCTCGCCTGACTCACCAATTTCGGACACGTGGCACGTTCTAAGTGAGGGTGACGTGGCAAAAACGTGATTATGCGAATTTTCTCGATTTTTGTGCAAAAACTTCTAAAATCCATAACTTTCGCATACGAACTCCGTTTTTGACGTTCTTTATATGCACGCGTAGGTAAAATTACGCTTTGCAACTTTCGTTTAGACTTCGTCGGCTAATTTTGACTTTAATTTTTATATTATTATTTTTAACAGACCGGGACAGAAAATCCGTTAAAAATTCATAACTTTTTCATCCGACGTCCGTTTTCGTCAGACTTTTTACCATTGTGCTACGAATTACGAGACCTTTGATTCTCGTTTAGGTCGTGTCGGTTAAAAATCACTCGATCTAAAATTCGAGTTTTTAGCTGTCTACTGCTAAGCTGAAAGTTCGAAAAATCATAACTTCCTCATACGAAGTCAGATTTGGGCGTTCTTTTTATACCTACTCTCGGTTTAACGAACACTATGAGTTTCGATTAGATCACTAAGGCTAAAATGTAGTGTATCGAAAACTCACTTTTTATGACATTCAGCACCAAGCCGGTTTTGTCGTGAAACTTCGACAGGTCATAACTTCTTCGTTATAACTCGGATTTCGACATTCTTTATATATCCGTAATCCTTGTCACGACCACTACAACTTTCTTAATAGAAATCGGCTTATCTAAAATTTATTTTCGACGCTCATTTTTATTCTTAATTAATTAACTCCTAATAATTAAGCATAAAACACATAAAACACATAGAATTCACATAATTCCTTTTTCATTTCTTCAAAATGAGTTACAAAGGTTAACCTAGACTATCATATCAAGATTAATGCCTAGTCGAGGAACTCTGTACAAAGATAGTCATGAGTCACATAATTCCTTTTTTATTTCTTCAAAATGAGACAATCCCACATTCACTAAGATAGTCGAGGAACTCTGTACAAAGATACTCACCACCTCGATCGGATCAAAGCATCTTAATGTTCCTGCCCAATTGATTCTCTAATTCCTGTTTAAGCTCTTTAAAACCTATCGAAAGTCTCTGACTTATGCTTAATTAAGTAGACATATCCATATCTACTATAATCATCTGTAAAAGTCACATAATAATGATTAGCATCCCTTCTGGCAGTTTTGAAGGGTCCACACACATCTGTGTGTACTAGATCCAACAAACCTTCACCCCTAGCACACAAGAACCTGTGAAGGGTGACTTTGTCGTTTTTCCAAGTAAGCATGATTCACAACTATCATCTGACTTTAGGTCAAATGACTCCAAGACTCCATCCTTTTGGATTTGGCCTATGCGTTTCTTGCTTACATGTCCAAGACGACAATGCCATAATGATGCTTTATCCAAGTTATTATCATTAGTTGAATCAATACACAACACATTATTTACTAAATTATCTACAACAGACACAATTGATGAAACAAAGAATCGAGTATGAAATGAATCAGAGTTTAATGATCAAAGTAAGATTGTGAGATTTGAACACAGATGTAAATATGATCTTGTTTCAGCTCTATTAAGCTCTCAAGTTTTACAGAGTACAAATGACAATCCTGTAAAGACTCGTATCCATGACTCTAGTAAACACTCCTATTTGTAGGAGAGGAAAGCGTACAAAAAATATACTAAGGACTATGCGTTAAGCTTTAAATACAATGCCCTAGTAAAATAGATTACATAAGATACGAAGACTCAGTACATTCGAAGACATGAAACCCTTCGACTGATTACAACTCTATTTACCCTTACAATCTCCCCCTTTGTAATCAAATTCGAAGTCTTCAACTTGTAAGCAGTTGAATTGAATACATCATCACTCTTCGTATCTCTGTGTACCATGCAATGACCTTCTTAATCTCCTTCTTGTCTCCTTCATTATTCTTCCTGCATTGGTGCATACGAACAATTAAGTTCGTATACTGAGAAGTTGCATATCTCTCCACTTCGCACGTTTGGAACAAGAACCGCTTTGCTCTACCAGCTTTGTCTTTTCCTGCGAAGACAATCCCCAATGGTTTTAAGCAGATTTCACCATCTTCATATTTCTTCAGATCTGCTTGTTTCTTCGTAGGAGCCATTGGTGCAGTAATTTCAATACCTTTCGCAGTAGCCAATTCCACATCAGTTTGAGCAAGACACTCAAAATAATTTTCAATAAAGATCTTGATGTGTTTGACTCCAAGTTGGAAAACATCTGGCTCTGTTTCTTGTAGAAAGGAGAATGACTTGTCTTTCAGGATTAATGCAACTTGTATAAGATCATACAAGTTCATTATCGGAAAATCAACAATGGTAAACTCATAAACTTTTCCATTTGATCTGATCACTGTGTATTTGAGATTTTGAATAACATTTTCGAAAACCATGTCTCTTTTGATGCTTATAACTTTCTTGATTTTTAACAGTGACCAGACTTCTTCAGGTGCTTTCGCCAACACTGAATGAAAACGAATTTTTATCTTCTTCCCTTCTTCTTTGTCTTTACACATAATTTCTGCTTTAAACTGAGGCATGATGAACATCATTTCATTTATAGGAAAGTCAACCTGACTTGCATCAGTGTTTGAAACCACATAACTCTGTTTTGGAACCTTTTCGAATGAATACATATGATCAAACATGACTTTTGCCTCAATTGTTTCATAGTTGTATTGCTTCGAAGGATCTCCTTTTTCCAAACCCACAGGGTCTTGTGCACGAAGAGCCATAACACTTTGAATATGCCTCATCTTTTCCAACTCCGCATCCACTTCAGCCTTCTTTTCTTCCTTAGTCTTTTCTATGATTTTGGCTTTACCTTTATCTTTAGACTCAGACTCTCCCACCACAATCTTTGTTTTCGAAGCACTTCCAGCAGCTTCTCCAATTACAACACCTTTAGTAACTGATCTGGTCATCGGAACCGTTGTGACCACAGTTGAAGTAACTGAACCAGCAGATACAATAACAGGCTTTGTAGTTGGAATCTTTGAAGGAAACACTTTTCCCACCACCTTCGAATCTTCTTTACTCGCCTTTACTTCTTCACCAGTCTTCTTAGATTCATCTACCTTTTCTCCCCCTTACACCCCTGTGAAAGCAGGTGGGGCATCTGATACTGTTGGAAGAAGACTTGAAATGCGAGTAAGAGGAGATAATTGTTTGTGAAGAATAGCTTCGAACTGGATGAATTTTTGAGATAAAAATTCTGGAGTGATAAACGAAGTGAACACTGGTTTCACAGACAACTCCTTCAACTCTTTTAACAAAACAAGCAACTCACCAAAATTCTTGTTCTCCAATTCAGAAAGATGAGTAAGTTGAGGACTCATGCTTTCGTACAATTTGACAAATTTGGTGACAGCGTCACAAATAATGTCAACCTTTTTGATGGATTGAAGTATAACCTTGTTGAACACTTTGAACTTCTCTCTGCATGTCTTCACGAAGTTCACGAATTTACATGTTGACATCTTCGCGTACCTTCTTAACTTCTTGAACAAAAAGAACATGTCGTTCTTTTGTTGTGCTTTTCAGATCCTTGACCTCACCCATAAAATCAGATCGTTGAGATTTAACACGAAGTTCGTTATTCTGATCATTGTAGTCAACCTTCTCCAAAATAACGGACTCGGAATCTTTCACCATTCCGGAGACTTTGCTGATTATCCGTGATTCCATCATCTTTAACATAGTATCAACTTCCAGACTTGATACTGATGAACCTCCCCCAAAATCAGCTTGAGATTGAATGATAGCATTCAACTTCGTATTCAAAATTTTGTACTGCTTCATGGTCATCAACATATGATCTGGAAAATTTTCTTCTTCTTCATCAAACTTTAGTTCTTCAAAAGTTCCTCTAAAACCTTCGTTATCAGTTTCATTCTCCAGCATCATTGTATCATCGACAGGTGAAGTAGGTTTGGGTGGATCAGTAGATTGTGAAGAAAAGATGGTGGTGAAAGGGGTACTGATTATGTTGTGGAATGTGGGTGAATCAGTTGTAGAAGTTACTGGAGGTAAAGATACGATAATATTAGAAGTGACATGAAGATTACCTTGAGCATCAGTCTTCGCACCTTCTTCACCTATGTTAACATTTGTATCCGTATTAGATACGTCTACAGTGATGTCAGAAGTTCGTGTCTCCTCATTAGATGACTTGACATGCGAAACTTCGGGTGGAATAAGACTTATGTCTTCAGAAATCGAACTTTCTTTGACAAGATCAGCTTCCGGAGTTTCAGGAATTCTTTCTTCGTCTTCTGTTGAAGTAGTGGCAATGATAAGTTTTTTGGACTTCTTCGTTTTCGTTTGTGTCAACTGTTTTGCCACATTTTTCAGCCATTCGTTTCTTTGATGATGGAGAAACAGGCGCTGGAACTTCCCTGAATAATACACCTTGATGTGTATGTTGTGGTTTACGAACAATGTGGGGTGAAGATTTTCGAGACCTCATCTTAAATCTACGAAAAACCCCAGTCTTCGAAGGGATTATTTCTTTTTCTTGGGTTTCTTCAACAGTAGGTGAAGTAACTGGTTCTGTAACAGCCATAGACACATCCGATTGAACAATTTCTTCGACTATTACGGGTTTCTTCTTAGATGACTTCTTGGGCTTCGTTTCCTTCACCGGTTTTGCAGAAGAACCAGCTTCATTCTTCCTCCCCCTTTTCGATTTCTTCTTCTCTTTTTCCAATAGAACACCAGTTGTCACTGTGGTATCTATTGTTTGCAGATAAGTCAACAAAACTGAGTTCGTAGGATCAACTCTTTTTAGCATTGCATCAGGAATACGAGCAACACTTGGGAACTCATCAGCATCATCAATTACCTCCTTTGGACTGCTATATACATGAAAAGTGACTTTTTCTTCTTCATTGGCTACTAAAATACCCTCTTTGTTGTAGAAGTATTGCAAGATGAAACCAGTATCTTGCACACGAAATACCATGTACAGCGTCCGTGTTTTCAACACTTTTCTTGAACTCCTTCCATAACTGCGAAGCATAATCCACCGGTAAATCATAGTATAGCCCTGCAACCATGGCGTATACCTCCATTCATCTTTTTGTCTAACCCCACTGTTCTACCAGTTAAGCAACGTAAAAAGATTCCAAAAAGAAAATTCCAAATCTTAGGAAGACCTGACTTCTTGAAATCACTGATTTTGGATAGTGGTGGTTGATGTCCCATCTCGTTGAACATGTGGACAATTTGAGGATAAGTAAAATCCTCATACGGTGGAGAATTTGGAATATCAAGAATCTGACAGAAGAGTTTCTTTGTAAGTCTAACCTTCTTGTCATTGATTAGGTTAAACGTGACTGCATCAAAGGCTTTAGCGATGGAAGCTGTTGATCCCGCCTGAGATAACCACGAAATCGGTACAGAGAAAGAATTGAACATTGCCTTGGATAAAACAGAATTCTTCAAGGCAATCACGAGCATCTTCAATTCTTCAGGGTACTTAGATACACCAGCTTCAACTTGATAGTTGGTACCCTGGATCTTCATAATAGGCATGGAAGTAATATCTTCTGGAGTTTGAGAAGGTTCAACATTGACATTAGCAGTATTCGCTATTGTTAGGGTTTTGAAAGCTTGAAAATTCAGAGAGAATTGGGAATTATCTTTGAATGCGTAAAGTGACAAAAGACCCTTGAATCCCCTTTTATATGTAGCCCTCCTGTTTGAATTAAAAGCAGGAGGTGCATTTAATGACTGCCAACGTGGCACCTTGAAAACCGGACCACTACTCCGTAGAAATAGTCATGCGTCAAAAAGTAACTGTCCCATCGCCATAAAACCCGGACACGATATCATACGTCATTGAAATACAGCCTGTTTTGTTTCCCCAAGAGAATTGTAATCGTCGGACCCCTTTGGATGGAAGTTAGGCTCTTTCACTTTTGGGATGAAAAGCGAAGTCATATGCCAGATGTTTGAAATCATCACCCTGAGTTGGTGTTATTCAGAACCTCAAGGATTTCGTGAGCGCAGTGTTCCAAAGAAAGTTAGACAAGAAACAATGAAATAGAAATTTTGGTATTTTGTAATGTCAAAAATTTAATTTGACACGAATGCAGTTAAACCCCGGGCAAAGGTTGCTTCGTTAATCATCAAGAGAGATGATCAACAGCTTGTGTATGTTCCCGTGAATTACAATCGAAAACTTGTAGAGAAGTTTCGAAGGGCATCTTTTGTAAGGCTACATAGGTGGCTTAATAAATTTCGTTACATATCAGCCTTAACATAAGATGAGTAATTGTAACACAATTTACTTGTTTGACCAATGTAGTCAGTGACAAGTGTGTTTTGAAAAATGTTTCAAGTAACTTTGGGATTCGAAGTAAACTCACACGGAAATGATATTCATGAAAAAAAAATTTGTGCTGGATCTTGTTGGGTAACAAACATCGTGGGTTTCGAATGTTTGATCAAGATCACTCATATGATTTGGAGTTTTGAAAATAGGTACTGAAACAAATGTTTCGTAAAATCTGGAACATAGTTCCTCGTCAATTCCTTAGTTTGTAAGAAATTTGGGTTTCACTTTCATCACGGTCTCATGATGTAAGATCATTAACACAGATTGTTGATATGTCTAAGTCTCGATTGGTTTGATCAGAGACCTCTCGGACATATGTCTTTGTGTGTGATTGTGAAAGAAATTTTAGATGAAAAAGATTGGTGAAGACACGAAGTGTACCTCTGTTATATTTGGACAAAACAGTAAACTCTTTACTCATATGAGAAGAGTCAGGTAGCTCAGGAGACTAATGTGAATACAAGCCTGATTGGGAAGAAATCTTCGTATGAAAAGTTTATTAAGGCTTTTGTACACACACATTGAGTCATTGGAGGCTTCGGACAACATGCAGCAGCATGCTTCTAGGGACATCTTAACTAGTTCAAAATAAGTAAAATGTAAAGAGTTGTAAGATTCATTTACCTGACCTTAGATCTGCAAGCATGTGCCTCTTCGTATGTTCAGAAAGATCTGCAACAAAGTTCTTAAATGAAAAAAAAATATAAAATCTTTTTGTTGTTTTGAATTTTCAAAAATAAAGAACAAAATAAAGTGAAAATCTTTTTGATGTTGTTGATTTTTCGAAAACGAAGAACAAAAGAAAATGAAAATATTTTTGATGTTTTTGATTTTTCGAAAACGAAATTACTCAAATAAATGAAAGTACTTGTTGCAAACATACTACATTTTACCAATTCACTAAAAAGTGACAATCATACGAATTTGAAGCGTTCGAAGAGTTGACTATGAATAGTAACCTCTGAACACTGAACGATGACACATGATCACTGATTCAAAGCCTCTGAACCATTCTCGATCAGTCACTTTTCCATCGATCATTCCAAGTCCTTCTATAATTCTTACAAGAGATTTTTCATCTAACGCTTTCGTGAAAATATCAGCTAACTGATCAGTTGTTTTCAAGAAATGTACTTCAATATTTCCATCCTCCACATGATCCTTGATGAAGTGGTAACGAAGAGCTATATGTTTAGTCTTCGAATGCTGCACATGATTATGACAAATTCGTATTGCACTTTGAGAATCACAATATAATGGAATCTTTTTCATATTAATTGCATAATCATGTAATTGACTTTGAATCCATATTATTTGTGAAGTGCAAGCAGCAGCAGCCACATATTCTGCTTCAGCTGTTGAGATTAATACACATGTTTGCTTTTTCGATTGCCAGCTCACTAATTTGCCATCAAGTAATTGACATCCACCACTTGTGCTTTTTCGATCAAGATTACAACCACCCAAGTCTGCATCCGAATATGCTTGTACAAAGAATCCAGTTTTCGAAGGATACCACAATCCTAACGAAATTGTTCCTTTAAGATAACGAAATATGTTCTTCACAGCAGTGAGATGTGGCTCTCGTGGATTAGACTGATACCTGGCACAATTATACATAGAAAACATGATATCAGGTCTACTTGCTGTGAGATAAAGTAATGAACCAATCATGCTTCGATAAAGAGTTATATCAACGGCAGGTTTATCTAACGATGGTGTCAACTTTATGCCTGTTGCCATTGGAACACGTAACTTCGTGTTATTTGTCAATCCAAACTTTTCGAGCAGATTCTTCGTATATTTTTCTTGACTGATGAAAAACCCTTCTCTGTTTTGACGAATATTCAATCCAAGAAAATTATTGATTTTGCCCATCATGCTCATTTCGAACTTACTTTTCATCAAATCTTCGAATTCTTTAGACAAAGCAGGGTTAGTTGAGCCAAAAATAATATCATCAACATAAATTTGAACAAGCATTAGATGATTCCCAACTTTCTTTCGAAATAATGTGGGGTCAACAGATCCTTGTTTAAATTTAGATTGTTTCAAAAACGAAGTAAGAGTGGCATACCATGCTCTTGGTGCTTGTTTTAAACCATAAACTGCCTTATCTAAAATATAAACATGATTTGGATATTCTTCGTTAATAAAACATGGGGGTTGTTCCACATAAACAGTCTCTTCAAGCTCTCCATTTAAGAATGCACACTTCACATCCATTTGATAAACATCAAAATTTTTATGAGCTGCATAAGCCAGAAATATTCGAACAGCCTCGAGTCTTGCGACAGGGGCAAAAGTTTCTTCATAGTCGATGCCTTCTTGTTGTGAATATCCTTTAACAACAAGTCTGGCTTTGTTTCGAATAATATTTCCATCTTTGTCAGTTTTATTTTTGAAAATCCATTTTAACCCGACAATCGAAACATTTTCAGGTTTAGGAATTAATCTCCAAACCTTGTTTCGTTCGAATTCAGACAATTTGGATTGCATTGCAACAACCCAATCTGAGTGTTCCATTGCAACCTTAATTGTTTTTGGTTCAATTTTAGATATGAAAACATTGAACATGCAGAATTCTTGATGAGTATTCAATACCTCATTCTTTGCACGAATTTGAGCTCTTGTTAAAACTCCCTTTTGTGGATTCCCAATTACTTGATCCTTAGGATGATCTTTTTGATGGGTTTTCAGCATTCTAACACTCCTATGGTGTACATGCAACCCTAGAAACCTTGGATCTATGTTTGACTAAGATACATGCAAATAACTATTTTTCCAAGGTTCTTATCCTAACTAGCATGGCATGGAGTACTTGAATCAAATAAAACTAGTAGAATTACTTACCTTGTAGTAGTAGTTGATTGCTTGGAGTTTGAGAGCCTAGCACCAATAATGTGGATGCCTCAAATGGAAGTCACAAATCACCACAAACTTGGAAACTTGAGAGAATAGTCACAAACTTCTTGAAATCGGCCCTCTTAGTTTACACACATCAACTAGTCCAATTTCAAGAACCAAGGCCTCCTTTATATAGTGTGGTGGGTTAGGGTTACTTCCATGTAAACCCTAATACCCATGTCTTTTCATTTCCATGAGATCCATGGGTTAAAGCTCCATGGAGTATCCATGGACTTTCCATGCAAGCCTAGCCCATTCCAAATAAGCATTAGCCCACACTATATAAATACAAGAGCCCATATTTAATTAGTCATACT